CCTTTGCTCTTCCCTTGCTACTCCCACCCCCTCCCGTGTGGCAGAATGACAAATGTAATCATTTTAAAAGGTCCCATCACCTGCTCAGTCATTCCCAATAAGCACACACAGCACTACGGAAACACCGACACTGCCGCCACAGGGTTTCGGCCAGGAAAAAATCGAATCACCAGGACGCCACCAACTGAATTGTCAAAGACCAAATAAAAAGCTTCATGAATTCTCCATCAGCAATATAACGCTTCCTGGCCTAAGCAAATATAGACCCAGCATATGAATTGTGGAGGGATTTTGCATTATTCTCAATGGCTTCCAACGGCTGAAGCAGAAACCCCTATGAAATCTATGTCTCCATAAAGCTGCCTTTATTGGCTCTAATCCTGTTAGGGTGAAGGCTGTAATCTCCTTTCTGAGCCCCCTTGCTCTGATGGAAAGCTTCACATCACACCACCATAAATACATTTCTGTGACCTCAGCCAGAAAGGGGACCTCAGAGAGATGGAAGAGACAGAGTCACTTGTGCCCTCACCGAGCACCTGTCCCTCCCTCCTATGATATTGCTACTTCTGCGTCTGATCCATTCAGACCATCTCACGGCCGCCCAGGTAGGCCAGGTCATTTAATCACTGACTCAGGGTGAAAAAGCAAGATTGCTCCTCCTTGAATGGGAAAAAAACAAACCAGGTGCCTCACTTTGCAGAACCCAAATCAGAGTCACTTAGAGAAAGTCCGCTCAGAGCCAGTAAACCCTGGCACATCTGCAGCAGCAGAGGAGAAAGTGAGGTGAAAGGGAAACCAGCCTGCAAATACATTACGAAGAAGATATGCAGGAAGGGTCCAGAGACAGCTCAGTGTCTTCTGGTAATGGAAATCTGGACTCTTACAACCTCCACAGAACCCACCATTGTTTCCCTCCCTGTCCACTGCCCTGTCTTTCTCCCGGAGGCACCCCTTGAATGGACGCATGCATGTGAGAAGGCAGCCTTCACCCCACCTTGTGACATCACACGCACATACATAATGCATGGCTGATAAAGGAAATGGTGACTTAATTTCCCAAGTTTTACAAAATACATCCCTATCCCCAAAGGAAAACTCAGAGCAAGCCACCACCCCACTCCTGAACGAATCCCATGTTGCAGCTTCTCCTGACCCCACAACTTGGGTGAGGGACTCTTCCCTCCTCTCCCCAATCCGGACATTCCCCCAAGCTTCATTCCATCCACCTCAGCCCTTGTCTACTCCACTAGCAACGACTTACCCCAGCGTGGTCATGGTGACAATGGTGTACCAAAATGAGGCGGGGATGCTCGTGAACTTGCTGGCAGAGGAGCCCTTCTCGGCATAGAACATCACAGTGGCAAAGATGATGATGGCCATGGTGAGGGAGAAGAGGAGGAAGCCGAGTTCAGAGGCACAGCTCTTCAGCGTGTAGCCCAGGATCCGCAAGCCCTGGGAGTGGCGGGAGAACTTGAAGATCCTGAAGACCCGGAAGACCCGGAGCGTGACGAAGGCCCCGGACACGTCCTCGTTGTTGGTCATGACCAGGCCGATGTAATAGGGCATGATGGCCACCACGTCGATGATGCTCATCACGCTGCGGATGAAGCGGTAGCGGCTGGGCGCCGCGAAGAGCCGGAGGAGGTACTCCACCGTGAAGATCATGACGCAGGCGGTGTCCAGGCAGAAGAAGGCCACGGAGTAGCGCTCTCCGCATGGCAGCTCCTTGCTCCCCGGCACCGTGCCGCACGGCACCGTCTCCACCACGTTGGTGATGACAGAGACGGCAATGAAGAAACCAGTCACGTAGTAGAAGACCAGGGCCATGGTGCTGGTGTGCGGGTTCTCGAAGGCCCGCCACATGGTCTGGCGGAAGCTGAGCGAGGGCATGGACTCCTGGTTGTTCTCCGAGTCATTGTCGTCCATGAGCCGCTCGGCGTTCTCCCTCTTGCGGTCTTTATACTCCTCGTAGCAGCAGTCTCCGATGATCTCGGGCAGGATGCCGTAGAAAGCCAGCTCGTCGTCGTAGGCCGAGATGCACTCGTAGCGCGGGTAGTGCAGCTTCCCAGTGCGGTAGAAGTTGAGCACGCAGCGGAACACTTCCGGGTCCCGGTCGAAGAAGTACTCCTTGGTGTCCTCATTGAAGAAGAACTCCTTCTCCGTGCTACCCAGCAGCGTGTCCGGGTAGCGCTCCAGTGTGGTCCTCCAGGTCTGGAACCTCCGCCCGCTCACGTTGAGGATGATCAGCTCGTCCTGCCGCTTGTTCTTGTCGGCCGGGGCCAGGGGCATAGGGCAGTTGGCCACGGGCATCCACCCAATGGCAGCTGCCCGCGCCAAAAGCCGCCCGG